ATATTTACTTGGATTAACACACCTCTATAGCACATGCTGTGAGGCCTGCCTGCAACGGAGAAGGGGACCTGCTGTATTTTTAGAGCAAGTTGGTTTTATTTTTTTGTTGAGTATTGTAGCTCATTCTAGGCAATCACAAAACCCAGCAGGATGGGAAGGGGTTGGAGTGATGGGTGAAGAAAATAAAGGGATTAAGGAGTACAAATTGCCAGATACAAAAACAGTCGTGGGGATGTAAATTGCAGCGTAGGGAATATAGTCAATAATATCGTAATAACTATGTATGATGTCAGGTGGGTACTAGACTTAGCGGGTAATCACTTCATAAATTATATAAATATCTAATCACTATGCTGTACACCTGAAACTAATATAATATTGTACGTCAACTGTAATTAAAAAATAAATTTAAAAAACACACACAAAAAAGCCAGCAGGTAACTCATTTAAGGAGGTACATGATTGTCCTCACTTAGTAAGGTTAAGGTTTCCCTAAAGAGCGATAATCCGCTCTAATCAAGTGCCCAGGGACCCCCAGGCCGTCTGGCGTCATCTTCAGGGGAGTTCGGGGCTTATGGGGCTGTGTCAGGAGCGGCAGAACTGCTGGTCCAAGTGGTGGCCCGCCTGGGGAGCCGCGCGGGCGTGCGGTGGCTGCCGGCGCGGGGCCCACCGTCAGCAAGGCGAACATGGTCTGGCCCACGTTGAACCCGTGCCGCCAGTTGTGGTAGGTGACGGCGCGGTACCCTTTCCGCACGGTGTACATCCACCTGGTGAGAACCTGTCGCCAACAGGAGATAACGCCGTTCAGACTTTGGAACGCGTTGCTAAAGGTTGGAAGGTCTGTGACAATCTTATCGGTGGGTCTTGTTTGCAGAGGTTAAGCGGATATATTTACAAAGTTAATAATAATTTAAAATCCAAACTGAAGTTAATCTTTTAAACGACAGGAACATTAGCGAAGCACAGCACAGAATCGCCCAGTATTTTACATTAAAGACCACCTGACCTCTACGGGGACTTTGAATTTCTCCACCACGTTGATTTCAAAGAACAGCCGCAGCCCACACCGGATGAGGCCGAGGTCGCTGAGCGGCGCGTCGCTGAAGCGGAACTCGAACAGGCCGGCGGCCCGCGGCTCCGGCAGGCCCGCCTTCTGCAGAAATGACACCGACCCTGTCGGGGCACTCCCCTTTCCCCGCAGACCCCACGGCCATGGGGGTGAAACAAGTCACAACCAAAGACAGCACGTGCGAGTCACTGGGTTAGCAGTTTGCAGGGGTCACCCTCACACCAAACCTGCACGATCGCCTCCAGTTTACAGAGAGCAAAACCGAGGCTCAGCTCTATCAAGGAGCTTTCTAAGTGGTGGGATTCGATTCCAGTTATACTCCAGTGGCTATCTGCTTTCTATGATGCAAAATAAAATATTTGGTTGCAGCAGCTCCAACCAAAAACGTACTCAACTTCACTTTTTTTCCTTTTCAAGAAATAGTCTGGAAACAGTAAATTACTCATTTGATTCAATTCTATCAGATTTTCTTTACGTGCTAAGTGACACTTTCCCATGAGACTGTGAGCCGCAGCAGGGTGGGATCATGTCTCTCTTATTTGCTGTGGTGTCTCAGAACCTGCAGTGCCCGTCCCATGGAGGGGCTTGGTAAATGTTTGTTGAATGAATGAATGCCCTGCAGTGTATTGGTATTGCAGATATCTTATTTAATCCACAGGACTATGTGAAAAAACAGTGAACTAGGCACATGAGTATTGACATGGCTTAGGGGAATTTAAGAAAAAGGATCTTACCTTTAAGGAACTTAATTTATTGAAATGGTTATACAAGACAGAGCAGGGGCAGGCGAGAGCTTAGAATACTCGCAGAGCATAGCATCGAGTGCCTGGGACTGTGGGAGAAACTGACTGCCCGGGGGCGGGGGAATTAAAGGAGGAGATATTCTGGAGGGGTGTGTATTCAGCTGACTGGGCCTTCCTTGAACCTAGAATTAAAGTGCACACTTGGAGAAAGAATCGTGGTGAGTACAGATACATGAATAATTGTGTAGCTGGGAAATTATGCCAAGATAATCTTGAAGAATCCCTCCGAAATACTTGTTTGTTTCTCAAATTCCTGTTTCATGCAGCAATGATTTGGGACAAACCTAGAGCAGATTTTTCATTAAAATAAGGTGTGTTTTGATAAAGTTACTGATTTCTTACTCATTTTATTGTTTCTCCAACATAAGGTCCTTCTTCTTCTAAATAGACAACTAGAGAATTTCTAAAGTGCAGTGGATGTCTATTAAAATGTTTTACAGGAAGATGCATGCTGTTGAGGGCAGGTGAGGAGAAGGAAGGGTTATCTCCTGAGCCAAGTGTGAGAAGAAAGTACTTAGAGGTCGAGCCTAGAAGAGTGGGAGCCTCAGGTGACACAAACTATGCAGGGTGGGAATGGAGCCCTCAAACAGGGGTCAAAGCCACTGGCTCTGTGGTAGCAGAGGACAGGAAGACACAGCCTATAAAAGAAAGAATAGAGATGGCCCAATGACAATAAAAAAAAAAGAACTGAATTCCTCCAGGCTCCAGAAGAGAAGCTATCGATGGCAATGACAATTGTGCCTAGAAGGATCCTATGTTCTGTAACCCCATCATGTCTTCTGGGGTGGCCAAGGTGTAATCCAAAGCTATTAAAATAAACAAGGCCAGAAAATCTCTAGAATCTGCACCGAAGTTCCCTTATGCCATCGTCTAGTTTTGCTGTGATTCTAAATCATCTGTGTGGATCAGACTGTAGGGGACATAAAAGGAAGACAATCAGGGAGCCAGAAGATGAGTGTTTAAAAGAAATACCCCTTCTTTTTAGCTTTGAAAGTTACCAGGGAAGAAGAAACTCAACATTTATTTTTAAAATGAGGAAGTATGTCCTAATATATTTTATTAAAAAGGTGTTAAGAATAGAAGTAAAACACTTACCAAAATTGTGACAAGTTGTTTTTCTTCGCAGTCTTCAGTTACATCTATATTTAACTTCTCTTTAAATTTCTAAAATGTAAAAGCAATTGTGGAGTGAAATTCCTATAAAGGAGAAGATTTCTATCTGATTCCTTTGCTCTTAAAATCAGTTAAAATGTATTTTAAATATGCTGTAATGAGTTTCACGACAAAGATGCATTCTGGATACAAAAAAAAAGAGAGACCTAATGCACCTGATTATGAAGAGTTTTCTCCAAGAAACAATCTAATTTAATTGATTTTTCTAGTCCCCGAAAAGGTAACAGCAACTATCTGAGAGAGAGAGAGACAAAGACAGAGAGGGAGAGAGAGAGAGAGATAAGATAAGTTTTTTGTATGTAAGTAATAAAGAAAGAAAAATGAGTGGCTTACTTTTCTTTTTAAATTTTTTTAGTTTATAGCAATTTCCCTTTATTCTCCCCAGACCTTCCCATCTTTGACATCCCAAACTCTCAAGTCAAATTCTCTTAACTCTCAAACCACCCAGCAAAACCAAAACTAAAGAAAAACTTAATTAAAAAAATTTAAAAACCACCAAAAAACTAAAAATCACCCAGCAAAATGATACCTATGCACACACTCTAAAAGCTGGGTAAATAAAAGAAACAGTGTGATATAGCCCTTCGTTTGGTGGTCATTAGAACATTGTTAGCAAATATCTACTTGCTCTCCACCATCCATGATGCTGGTCTTAGTCATGTCTGGCCAATGAGAATTTCAGTGAATGTGTTATGAACAAGGACTTGAAATGTGCTTGCACAGTGGGCTTGCTCTGTTGCACTCACTTATCAGGGAGCAGCTGATTAAAAAAAAGGAGAGACACATAGAGCAAACCAAACTCACAGCTTGGAGCAAAGCCCAACCAAGATCAATCAAAACCTGGTCAACCCACAAATGCATGAGTGAGAATTAGATGTTCATTGTTGGATACCACTGAGATGCCATGGTTGTTATGCAGCACTACATAGCAATAGCTGACTGATATATTTCCTTTCCTGGAATTTTTTTTTCTTTGCTCACACACACGAATCTAGATATCACTACTCGAGCTTTTACAGATTCAAAAGCTATTTTTAACAAAGTGCTCTTCCAACCAAGCAGCCTGGAAGTCCGGTCAGGGTCTATGTACACTAAGCCACCCAGCTCCTCCCCTCACCCCTCCTTTTTTGCCTCCCCTCCTTAGCTCAGGACTAAACCTATTTTCATTTGTCAGACTTCTGGGTAATTAGGTGAACTCCAGAAGCCCTGGTTAAATACCACCTGATGTCCACAGGACCGAATCCCCCACTTACCAAAATAGACTCGATTTCATCAGGAGTAGCTTTGGTCTGGTTCATGAGCATTTCCTGAGCTATGTCTTTTCTGTTTTCTAGCTTATTCATTTTCTCATAGGTATCAGTATTTAAAAGAGACCATCCAAGAAATTGTGTTAGAGTCTGAAATGCATAAAATGTGATTCAATTCTCTAACATTAAAGGAAAATTGATTTGAAGGCAGCAATCTGCATGCTTCCCTATCAATCTCCCTTTTAATCTAAGAAAAAACATACTACTAATGCTCCAGACTATATTAACTAAGCCCCGATTTCCAAAGTGCACCCTGAATACTTTATTTGAGGAGAGAAATTACACAAATCCAGTAAAATAACCATGACCTGAAAATCAGAAAGAGGGCTGGGAATGAGAGCAAGACCAAGGGGGAAAGGAAGGGGGGTGGGAAGGAGGCAGAAACCTTCTTTCCCAGTTTCCCAGTATTGTAAAAAATTCTGACTAAGCCAAAAGTTCATACTTTAGTAAAAAAGTGCTGCAGTTTACAGAAGTCAAGAAAGAGAAATGACACAATAACAACAGATTGGCTGCAACCATGTGTGACTCATATCTTAGTTGCCCTTCAAAAATATTATTCCAGAATAACAAATAATTATGCATCCTCTGTTATTTCAAGAATTTCATTTACCTCCATTATTTTGTAATTGCACTTACCTCAGTTATGTGTTCATCAAATTCATCGAAAGGTTTTCCATCCTTCCTGTTGTAAAACGTAGCTACCCCCACAATGTCTTCCTTCTTGTTGACAATAGGCAGGGACAAGACATTTTTAATGACCCAGCCAGTGTCATCTATAGGCCCTTTCTACAAACAACAAAGGAACTTACATTATTTTTTAAATCTTGAAATAATTATAGATTTACAGGTTGTTGCAAAAGAAATGTACAGAGAGGTCCCATGTACCCTTTACCCAGTTTTCTCAGTGGAACATCTTGGGTCACTATAGTACAAAACCAGGAAGTAGACCATGGCACAATCCATGAAGTTTATTCAGATTTCACCAGATTTATATGTATGTATTTGTGCGTGTGTGTGTACACACGTGTGTGGCTCTATGCAAATTCATCATGTGTGCAGATATGTGCAACCTCCACTAGAATCGAGATACAGAACTAACTCAGCACCACAAGGCTCCCTTGCCTCAGTCCTTAATAGCCCCCCCCCACACACACACACCACCACACCCCACTTGGGTTATTTTTAATTTAAAGAAAGAATAATCTTTAGTTGTGAGATGCACAATTCTTATGTTGTGTCAGAACATGTCTAGGATTATAGAGCCATAAAAGTATTCTAGTACATTCAGTGAAGTGTGCTAGAACCAAGTGTCTATATTGTAACAGCCTCAACCTCTTCTCTTCGTCTCCCCAGCCCTAGGGATGAGAAGCACTTACCTCTGTTACCTCAGTGTTCCCTGTTCACTTTTTTGGTCCTCCAACACCTGTTTAGCCCCTAGGATGTATCAGGACCGGGGCTAGTTGCTGGTGCAAAAATGAACAAATCACAGGCCCTAAACTCAAGATGACCACATCTAGTGGGAGATGCAGACACAGATATTTAGGAGTGTTTCTCAAAGTGTGGCCCCAGGGCCATATGCAAGATTCTTTTTTAGCTTGTTTCATAATCTCTGGGCATGTATCTTGAATAAGCTCCTGGATAATTCTGATGCCCTCTGGAGTCTGAGAACCATTGTGTGGCACCTGCAAAGTATGCAGCAAAGCAAAGGTAGCCAAGCACTTAACACAAATTATTAATTCCTTAGCCTCCTGTCGGCTTATTTGGTCATCCTTCAAGGCCCAGATTAAGCCTCACTTCTCCATGAAGCCTTCTCTAATTTTTTTCACCCATATGGAGCTTTTTTCAAAATTCTGACAGCACTTATCACCTGGACCATACAATTTAGCATTTAGATATTTTTCAAATGCTTCAGAATTGTTGTTGTTTTTGTCTCTGAGTCTAATGCAAACTCTGGAGATAGGGAATGGGGGACAATGCTGCTCCCCTCCTCCCTAGCACTGAGAGGTGAGGCCCGGCAGACGGCACGGTTACCTGAAATGTGAAGTATTCATCTGCGGGGGCATTCAGCATGTTACAGATCTGTAAAGCAAGAGGAGACGAAAGTCTTGAAACATGTGGTGAAGTCATTAAACCACCAACGCAGAACCAGAAAGAACACATCAAGGGTGAGTATTTCTTCCATAGCTCTTGATGGTTCACAAGCAAATTATTCACACTGGACCTTGGCTAGGCCAAATGTGCTAACAACACATTGAAGTTAGCTTCTTTTCTGCTAATTAAGTCATTGGATGCCATTTAACACCATCTCTGCTCCTTCCTACTCTCCAGCCTCTAAGGATTCTTCTTCCAAATTCAAAGCAACTAGATGAATGAACACTGCCAAAAATACAAGGACAACACTAAAGAAAAAACAAACATGTAAATAAATGCTATTTCAGAAACTTGGATCTGAAGGGGGAAGAAAGAAAAATGTCAACATAAAGAAACTTGAAAGCATCGAACATTCTTGCAGGGAGAAACCTTGATGCCAAAAAAGGACACAGATGGTAGAGAAGCCCAACTCAGGAGAAAAGTCAGCACGAGAAAGAGGGGGAGTGTGGCTNTGACACAGATGGTGGAGAAGCCCAACTCAGGAGAAAAGTCAGCATGAGAAAGAGGGGGAGTGTGGCTGAGGCCAAGTGGGAAAGCTACGGTGACCCTGTCCTCTGGCCTTGAGGCCTATGGGACCTACCAGAGATCTCGTTTGTTGTCTTCCTGCTCCTGACATCCCTCAGCCGCAACTAGCCTACTGTGCACCCGACCCCACCTGACAGGCCAGGGCAGAATCTCACTTCCTTTATCAACTCACTACATTTTGCTTTGCAACCAGTGGCGAGGTTTCCTCTTTATATATTTCTCTTTTGTCAGTAATCTCCCATGCTTCAAAAGTCTTGACCAAGGGAAGTGCACTGAGGTCAGATTAAACGCAGCCTGAATCCCGGTCACGGATTTCCAAAAAACTCCGTGATCTGTGTGGCTGCAGAAGAGCGAGCTGGGGCCCCTCTGTGCGTGACACTGGTGATGCTATTATTTATTGTATTCTATGGTATTCGCTCCGTGGAGACAGTGAGGAAAACATGTCTTTCTAGTCTTTGTATCAGAATATATTGTGTTTTATTCTGAACAGCTGGCTTCTGTCTTTGGAACACTGTGAAATCTGTACCTGATCCGTTTTTCCCTTTCTGACCGGCTTCTGGAAAGCTAAGAGCAAATGCGTAGCCTAATTTCATTAGTGTGGAGGACATTGTGTAACAGATCGTTGTTATCTTTAGTCCTGGCTCTAATGTACATCCCTGCCTTTGACTTTTTTTTCTCTCCTCCTTTCCTTGTACACCTATTTCTATTTTGTGTCATATTGCTTTATTTGGTTGTTGAAACTTGAATCCTTTTTGTGACAAGGTAAATATAAATAAACATATATGGAATGAAAACAATAAAGGCTGGGGAATGGATCAATCTTTCTCCTGTTGACAAAATATTTTCTCATGGAGATTGGAAGTTTCTCAACCTGCATTCAGCTGCCAAGGTTGCTCCCTCCAAGGTCCTGTGCCAAAGGAAATGGCTACCTCGCCTCTCCCTGATACATCCTGGCTTTCACATTTGTCTGCATCTCTTCGCTAATAAGAGTTTCATCCAATATTATTTAAGATCTGAACTTGTTCAATAACTTACAAATCCATTTTCAGCAACATATGTTGGCAACCCACTAACGAGAGTCCAGTGGTCTGCAGGGGGTGTCCTTGAGGGAGATAAAAGAGAGTCAGTGCGACACAGAGAAGGGCACCGTGTGCGAAAATAAAAGGGCAACTCCTACAGCTGCTAGATGACAACACTCACGGAATCACTCTGATCTCTTCTCTCCCGTGTAAAATGTAATCAATGACTTTATAAAAGATGATTTCCTAAAAGGAAAGAGAGAGGTTATGAGAGAAATCTTATTTCCCAAAAAACGCTTTTCATTGATTAACTTTTACTAATGGTACCTTATTTCCCAACCACATTTTCTCTGCATAACATGAGTTACCAATCTGCTCATGTCCTGATTATGTTTGTAATAAAACTAGAAATATTATCTACATGAACAATCCTGTTGAATTAAATTTATAAAGTTGAATTCACCTGAACAATATTTAGGGGAAACTTGCCCGTTTCTACTGTCCAGGAAGATCTGACTGATAATTTCAGTGAAACAAATTCTATCATTTCTCAACCTCAGTCCATGTTTTCCCTTCCCAGCTGGACAGTGAGCACCTACCCCCTTCCAGCACTGGGTCATCTGGACAAGTGCCTCAGAAACAGGGTTTGGTGGCTATATTGAGAACTAGTCTCTCTACTTCTTTGGACAGATGAAGACCCTGAGGCCTGGACCATTGCCTTCCCTTTCTCGTGTGCCGTGGATACAGTGGTGAAACACAGTTCCTACCATGTGAAGCTTGCAGTCAAGGCGGAAAATAAATCTAACCCAGCCCTGCCCTAGAGATTCCAATCCAGCAAGTCAGAAGGAGGACCTGGGCACAGTACGTTTCAAAAGCCATGCAAGTAGGTCTGATATGTTCCTCCTTGTTGAGAACCGCTGGTCCCAAACACTGGCTTTAAAGAAAAGGAAACTGAGCAGTTAAACAGTGAGTTAAATCACAGGCCACCCAGCTGGCTTGGGGCAGAGCTGGAAGTGGAACCTCAAACTCTCTGTGCAGTAAGTACTCTTTCTACCACTCCAAAGTCCCACAGAAAGTTCCAGGACTAGAACCCGGGTTTCTGGGGCTTGCGCTCTTTCCTCTATGCGTGGCTGCCTCTGGTTTTAGCACCTTGCACCACGCACAGATATCACCAAGGAAGATGTTAGCACTTACTCTGCCGTCTGGTGTCTTTGGACCTTTATAAGGCTCGACTTCTCCAAGCTTGACTGGCCATTCATCGTAGAATTCCTGCAGGCAATTATATTTAAATATTATTAAACAAACTGTTCCAAGACCTACCATGTCTTATGAATTTCATGTGTCTGCGTATTTTATGTTAATTCATAATTCTGGAATGTTAGAGCTGGAAAAGAGCTGTAATTCCCAGCAATACTGCTTCTAGGAACTCGTGGCTGTGAACAAGTCACTTAACCTTTTTCACTGGTAAATGAGAATAACAGAATTCATACTATAGGGTCATTGTGAGGGTTAAATGAGTGAAACATACAGAGCACTTACCCTGACACCTAATTAAAAGTACTCAATAGAGAGCAGCTCTTTTACAGATAATTAAAGCAAATCTAGCAGTTTCTTACAAAGCTAAATAAAGTCTTACCATCCTCCTTGGTATTTACTCAAAGGAGTTGAAAACTTATGTCTACATAAAAACCTATACTTTATTTATAATAGCCAGCATTTGGAAGCAACCAAGCTGCCCTTCAGTAGGTGAGTGAATAAATTGTGGTGCATCCAGACAATGGAATATTATTCATCATTTTTAAAAATGAGCTATGGAGCCATGAAAAGACATGGAAGAAACTTAAATGCATATTACTAAGGAAAATAACCCAATCTGAAAAAGCAACATACTGTATGGAAAGGGCAAAAAATCAGTGGTTGTCAGAGACTTGGGTAGGGAGAGGGAGGGATAAACAGGTGGAACACAGGATTTTTAGGTAAACGATTCCATATGACACTGTAATGGCAGAGATATGACTATGCATTTGTCCAAACCCAAACACTGTACAACACAGAGTGAACCTGAATGTAAACTGTGGACTTTAGTTAATAATCTCTTATCAATATTGATTCATCAACTATAACAAATGTCCCACATTAATGCAAGATGTTATAACAGGGGAAATAGATAATAGAGGAAACTGGGGCGTGTGGGGAAAGGAAGAAAACATATATGGGAACTGCTCATTTTTTCTGTAAACCTAAAATTTCTCTTAAAAAATAAAGTTTATTAATTAATATTTAAAAAAGAAAGAAAAGACTCATAGAAGGCACAGACAACTAGAAAATAGAAAAGCCAAGATTTGAGCCTAGATGATTTTTGCTTCAAAATGCACACTCTTTACTTCTGTACCTTACTGTCTTGGCACTGGTTCTTATGATCTACCATGACTGATTATTCACATAGCACATCCATTTTCTGATGGACCACATTTCATGTGATATGTATTTTACAGGTGCTTTTAAGCAAGACAAAATGTATGGAACAATGAGGACCTTCTCCTTGGTCATGTCCAGCAGGCCGATGGAGTACCGTTCACAGTTCAGATACGTTCGAACTGTGTAGAGCGCTTTGTGAAACTGCCGCTCAACATCTGTGAGCTCTTCAAACACTTTATTGGCTGACCACATAAGGATCTGAAAGTAGATATTCCAAAGAGAACAGTTAGAACAAAACACACTGTGAGAAGATAGAGCTTTAGCCAGGGGCTGCATCAAATACAATGAATCCATGTCACTGGACAGCACAATTCCATTTTTGCCCATGTCTGTGTCCAACAAACTACTGCTTCTCTGCACAGGAAAATGAGTAGACCTTTGCAAGGCTGTGGGCTTCTGAAAGAGGGTAGCTATGACTGGTTCTTATGTCCCAGTGTTTCAGCTCCGAAGGGCAAATGATCTAAAACTGGATGCAGAGACAGTCCCTGGGCAGAGTCCAGTACTGGTGACCCACTGGCTCCTGCTGAACCTCATCTGGAGAAGGTCACATGCCTCCTTCCACGCATCCCGAGCTAGTCAAAGGTTACCTTACCCGGACAGTTAGAATGGGAAGAGGCCCTGGAAGCCTTCCACCCCAACCCCTCCCACCATTGTACTAATGAGGAAACTGAGGTCCGGAGAGTGGTTCAGACTCGGGCACCCTAGCTCCCAATGTTGTTCTTTATACCTCTGGCTCAAGGAGGAAACAAACTTCAGAGGAATAATTTGCTCCTCAAATGAATAGCTTATGTACCAAGAATTGCTAAGGGCTTTATGCAAGCTAATTTATCTAATGAGCATTTAATAATCACAGTAAGCGTGTGGGGGAGGTTCTGTAATTATCATCGCCATCTCAGAGATGAAGAAGCCATGGCTACCTGCATGGAGCCTGAGGGAGGGCCGCCAGTGTGCGCACAGGTGGAGGGGCAGGCAGGTGGGGGTGCAAAGCCGGGCCGGACCTTGAGAAGTCCGGGACTGAAGTGTGGGGATCTGCTCCGTGCTTAATCCCCCACGAGGGAAGGAGGGGTCTGGGCTATTGCCTCTCCGTCCCTTTGTCAGACAGTCAGCGCGGGGTGACTCACGTCACCTTCTCTTTACCTGGCTTCTTCGGGATTCAACACTGTACAGGTAGGTGGTATGATGAAGCTTTAGGATGACAGAAACAAAGGTGAGGTATTTGGAAAAGACCTAGAGATGGCAGAGAAAAACGAATTAGGTGTCACATCTTTCTTTCAGATACGTGACCAATAAGCTTCCCAAGCCTTCGGCCGTGTGCCCAGGCCCAGCATTACCTCTTCATCCTGCGTGGAAAACTCGGGCGCATTTACTTTGTTGACTGCCATAACCACAGCCAGGGCCTCCTGGCCCATCACGATCGGGGTTGCCAGCAGGTTCCTAGTGACATACCCGGTTTGTTTGTCCATGAAGTCAGAAAAGTGGCTGTTCTGAAACACACACACATGTTTGCCAAGCAGCAGAGAACCTTGGAGTGTAGATCTAGAAATGGCAGCAAGTCCTTCCATCTAGTCCAAATTCTATCGACAGGGAACCAAGGCCCCAGCACAGTGGTTGTGAGCAAACACCCCCTCCCCCCATCTTATGATTGCAAAGAATGAAATTGCCCACTTCAGAGTGAGCATTCTCCAGCTGAGCTGTGGCCTGTCTAGGTTAGGCTGAGGTTGGGCCAGGAGAAAAGAGGTGATGTCACAGCCAAGTGGAAAGAAGGTGCCAAGAGGAAGGGAGGGAAAGACAGAGGGTGACAGTAAACAGAAAGTGTGTGCCGGGAAGGAGAGCACAGCTGGGGCTACAGGTATATTTCAAAGAGTTCTTCCTTTTCATTACAAAGTAAAATGTGCAGTTGAAAGCAGAGACCTAGTACATCATAACATAAAGAAAAAAATTAGTATTCCCCCAAACTTATAATCTTGCCTACTAGGAAACTGGTGTTAACTGCTTGGTATGTCTCCTCTATGCCCTGCTCTATGCTTAGACAAAGGTTTTTCTTTTCTGTTTTTTTATAAAATTTTCCTTTCTAATTTTATATAATACTTTCATCACATAACAGTATTTTATGGATGTCCCTCCAGAACAGTGCATATGGATGTGAATTTACCTCCTAGATTCTTGCACATAGCTCCACGGTGTGGGAGCTCCATGGTCCCCTCAACCGTCCTCTACTGAGTCCGTCTGTTTGGTAGTTTTCTCCACTGCAAACAATGCTGCATGCATCATGCCTACTTTTATGTGTATGAGCTTCCCACAGTGGAAATCCCTTTTGCTGGGTCACCAGGTGTATGGCAGTTTTTATTTACACAGATTACTTTTACAAAAGGCTGGAATCCTTACTTCCACTGGTCATGTGTGAGGGGATCACCCTCTTACCAGCACCAGATCCTTACCAGTCATTATTGTTCTGCCAGGCTAGTGTCTTTCATTCATATATTTTTCTCTCTCTTTAGGAGATAGGAAGTGGATCTTCCCAGATACAAGCCTCATGTGGTAGATACAGGAGATGATTCTAATACACTAACTATAGAAAGAGCAGAGAGATGAGTTTGGAGAGGTGCACAAACGAGGGGCTTGAGAAGGTCAAGGATGGTTATCTTATTAGCTACAATTGAGAGGAATACCAACTCTGCATGGGCATAGACTCAGCCTTCCATGGTCCTTACTGTCTCCTCCTTGAATGTGAGGCTTCTTCAATTGGAACTGACCTTACAGCCTAATTCTGAGACTCATGGGTCAAAATTAATGTGGTGTTGCATAACAAGTTGTATTATTTTCATTTCCTAATGTTGTTGGTGCTTCTGAAAGCAGCACAGACCTTGGAGACTGGACTCTGTTCAGTTTCCCAAAGTAAAAAGGTGAGAGTCCACTGGTGTGTAATTTCTGGGCCAGAATTTCCAACAGGGAACAAGGGCTGCTTGATCCACAGAGCTCACAGCTCAGCTCAGCTCAGAGCAGCAGTCCCTGGCTGTGCCTCAGAATCACCTGCAGACAAACCACAACAGACCCATCGACCTTAATCTAAAGTGGAGCCTGTCTTCCCCAGGAGTCTGTACTTTTAGTGGGTGAATCACTCCTGTGGAGAATCCCCAAAAATGGGACCCTTCACAAAGAAAATGTGAGATGCTAAGGGGGGCACATGCAGTCCCTCACCCCAGATCTCTTCCATACCTACCTCTCCCAAAGTGGAACCACACAAACCACTATGTATTCAGGAGGCAACATCCCATAATGGTAAAGAAGCCTCTGGAGTCAGACTTCCTTGGCTGAAACCAGGCCCCAGCCTACCAGCGGCTGTGTGATCCTGGGCATGCTACTTACCCTCTACGTCTTTGTTTCCTAATCTGAAAATGGTGATAATGATGTTATCTACTCTCTAGAGTCCCTGCCATGAAGAGAGAATAACAGCCCAGGCCTGTGTGCCTCAGTTGGTTGGGTTTCCTCCCATGCACCGAAAGGTTGCCTGCTTGAGTCTTGGTCAGGGCACATGCCTTGGTTTGGGGCTCGATCTCTGGTAGGGGGCATGCAGGAGGCAACCGATCAATGTTTCTTTCTCACATTGATGTTTCTCTCTCTCCCTTCCTCTCTCTCTGAAAATCAATAATAAAAAAATGGTTATGGTAGAATAACATAGTACTGGTAGAACACTTAGCGAAGTGTCTGGCATAGTGAGTGTTCAAAAAATACTAGGAAGAGGAACCTGTAACTTTTTGGGGTCTCCCTGAATGAAATATCATTCTTCTACAATTACCATTTTGCTTCTAGCTTTAGATTTTCTAACCAGTTCTAATCTGTGAAGAAATCAGAGGCTGATGTAACCTCCCCTCCCCCCCTCAGGACCGTGCTTCTGAGGGCCAGCACTGCCCCATACCATCAAGGGCCACATTGCTCTCCTGACTGCTTCACCTGTTGCTTCTCTCTGCCTCCCGTAGCATCGTCATTCTCAGGTTCTTTCTCTTAATCCACTGCTTGGCCAGGCCAGCTCCCGTCCTGTTTTCCTCCTAAGCCTCACCCATCACAGGTCATGATCGCCTTCCCTTACACAGTGATCCTGGGCACTGAAGGGGTCATCAAAATACCAGAAACATGCACCATGGGGTGGAGTTGGCAGCTCCTGGCTAACGCTTCATTCTGCAGCCTCAGCACTTGCTGCTGTTTCATTCTAGATTCTACACACAAGAAAATGCCCTCGAGTTCAATGGGCTGCTCTGAGAAGATGGCTTATAAGTTTGAAAGTAGAATGCTTGCTTATTGTTGTATCTGAAATCCCTGGATAAAATCATCCATCAAATTACAGGGTAGGCCATAGGAGGCTTTCTGCTTTTTATTTTCACTAGCTCAAACAATCCTTACTGAAGTTTGTTTGAGTAAATTCTGTGTTTCTCAAATTCACAAACTCCCCTTGATGGTCCTCTTCAAAGCAGCCACTAAAAGCAGCTGGAAAGAACATTGTTTAGAACAGCAGGCCACCTGGGTCCCTCAGCCAGTCGTAGCATTGATAAATTCTGATTAAATACCATTATCCCTTGAGATCAGGAGTCAGAAAGAGCAAAGAGAAGGAAGAGAGGAGGGAGGAAAGGGAGCTGTAAGCACCCTGTTAATCATTGAAAATGTAGGGCTTCTCCATGGCTTTCTTTTAACCACAGTCAGAGTGAGAACCGCCCATCTATAGAATTAATCAACAGCTTTCCCAACAGAAAAAGAAATGATTAACTTGAGAAGAATATCTCTCAGCTTCCTGTTATCCAAAGTTTTCCTCCCTTTAACCTGCTTTGAAAACAGACAATAACCATTGACCCAGATTTGGCCACCCACACCCAACCCCCAAATGCCTTTTGGCATAAAAATAGTATTGTCATAGCTGTCATTTATTGAGCACCTACCAAGAATCAGGCACTTTATATCCATTTAATGTGTACAATTGGTTACCTCCATTTCTCAGGTGCAGTAACTCAATCCATCTCACTGTTACCTTGTCTCAGACCTGGGTATGCACCCAGGTCTGTCTGATGCCAAAGCTGTCACCCTACACCATGTGGCTTCCCTCTTATAACCTTTGTGGACCCCCGAGGTCAAGAGTATCTGGTTCTGCCTTTGTGTAGGTGTGAGAAGTCCTTCTCGCCCCTGTGCCCACAGTGCCAACCAGAGAGAAGTCGTGTGTGGTCAGCAGTGCAGTAGAAGAGGGAGGCCTCCGAAGGCTGAGTTACAGTCCCAGACCCACCACATCCTGCTGAGAAGATTCTTACAAAGACAACATGGAAAAATATGCCTTCCCCGCAGGGTCACTGCCAGAATCAAGTGAGACTGAGAATGAGAAAAGCTTGACAAATTGCCAAGTGTACTGAGAAGGTGAAAAATTAATAGAAATTTCATTAAAAACACCAGTTTCCATCATCTTTCTCTTTGCAGGTTTTGTTACAGCCACTGAAATGTGGCGAAACTGCGGAGAACAGATTGATGGCTGTCAGAGGGGAGGGGGTGTTGGGAGACTATGTGAAAAAAAAAAAAGGAATTAAGAAGTACAGGTTGGTAGTTACAAAATAGTCACAGTGATGTAAAGTGCAGCGTAGGGAATATAGTCAATAATATTGTAATACTTATGTATGGTGCCAGATGGGTACTGGAACTATCAGGGGGATCACTTCATAAATTATGTAATTGTCTAACTACTATGCTGTACACCTGAAACTAATACAAAATAATATTGAATGTCAACTGTAATTGAAAAATAATTTTTTTAAGTAATTAAAGAGAAAAGAAAGAAAGAAAGAAAGAAAGAAAGAAAGAAAGAAAGAAAGAAAGAAAGAAA